TTTTTTTTTTTTTTTCCCATTACCATTTGCTGAAGTACTCCTCAGAACTGAACATGATGTACTTGTACCATCAACATTTCCCCACATCTTGGAAAGAAGTTACTAATAACAACAACAAAAAATAGCTTGTTATTTCAAAGTAAGAAGAGTTTCAGAACAAAGTGTCCTAAAATGCAATTAAAATTTAGAGTGAAAACAGAAAAGAAAGTTATTGGAAAAAACATCTAACCAGTTACTTATACCAATTAACATACATGTGTTTTTTTTCTGTGTTTTTATGTCGTTTGATAATCACAGGTCAGAACAAACACACTTTACGCCTTCCTGGACCCTTGGCGCTGGCTGACTTTCTATAAAAACATCTCTATCCAGCACCCAGACAGCTGAGAGTAGCTTCTATCATTTTAACAACCTCACAGTAACTAATAAATGATGTTGCACTGGGAGATGCACAAAGCGGCCAGCTATTTCAGCAGCTGAGAGTCTCTGGTGGCATCTTGGAGATGGAGGCAAACCAGGCAGAAGTTGTGAATTAGCTCTCACTGAGTTTTACATGCTTAATTTGAAATTCACTCAAGCACCGCAAAGTCTTGTTGAGAGATATTCTCCTTGCATGAGGTGAAACATTTTCTTTTAGAAGCACGTGGCTTCATTTGCTGTTGAACTTTCATATCGTGGTGTTCTTCATAAAGCAGCTTCTTGTAGGACAGAGCCAAATCTTAACTAATGGAAGGCATCCGTTTCTCTAGAAGCAATTATATTTAACAGTTCTCACTCTGTTAATGGTAACACTTGATTCATTTCCTTTTTTAATGGTTTACTTTGTTGTTAACATCCTGGCTTCACTGAATTCATATTAGTTATAAGCAGCAACTACAGTATAGGAGTAAAAAGCTGTTATCCAAAGCCTTTCTACTGAATGGTTCACAATTGAAATATTCTTGACTATAAGATTTTTATTAGAATTTAACTGGTTCAATAATGGTCCATCCAAATGATGTTTGATTATATTGCATGGCTGTAGCTTTATATGCCTTTAATTACTTCTAAACCAGCTTTAATCTATTCTACAT